TATATATATATATATATATATATATATATAAAAAGAATATTGAAGGTTTTTTTATTTGAAAATCAAATTTTTTTTTAAATAGGTATATTATTTCTTGAATTTGTTTTGTTTTTGGGATATGTATTTTGTTGTAATGTATTTTTTAGACGAATAACTTGTTTTGTATGAATCTACATAAAATTGACGATAAATTTCTGTTTGAAAAGGCACATAGTTTACAATCAGCATCTTATATATAAAAATTTCATAAATCGAAAATCTAAAAAAAATTGTTAAACTAAATCAAGTTTACATGTTTGTATATAATTTTTATACCGAATGAAATGAATATACCTTGTTACATATTAATTCACACGATAAATTCAAAAGAAGTATCATTTATCGTATGTAATGAGTATATCATATGACGTTCCTGGTTAACTTTAACTAATACTTTTGAGAGCAATTTATAAACCAATTTCATACATTATATAATAATATTTTTTGATAGCCAACTGCATGCAATTTTTATTTAATGTCAAATTTGATATCGGATTGACTTCAATTAAGCTGATAGATCGTATATAAAATAATCATTTAGGGGTCGTTTGGTTACTGTATAAGAGACATTTTATTCATGTATAAAAAGTTGCATTAACTTTACTGTGTTTGGTAGAAGTTTTGTATTAGGTATAAAAGTCAGCATAACTTATACCACGTTTGGTTGGTAAGAATTTAAATGTTGTATAAAAGTTATTCATGTATTAATTTATACGGTGTTTGGTTGCATTTTTGTAGTCCTACATAATTAATACCAACATAACTTATGAGGGAATCTATGTATAAAGTTATGCAGGGTAGAAGGTGGAATAAGTTATGTGGGTATTAGTTATACATGTATTAAAATGATAGATTACATATTTACCCTATTAATTTATTTTTTATTTTTTAATTGGAAACTTTACTGTTTCCTATATACGTTTGTTGTTTTTATTTCTTTTTATATATANNNTTATTTATGCAAATATAAATATTTTTTTAATATTAGAGATTTGATTGTATATTTTTTGACGGTACATATGCTAATCAAATATTAGCATTATGCTGGAGTTGTTCTATCAGTTTAGGATTTTTTTGTTTCCAAATTAGATTATTTCTAGTTGTTTTTGTTTTGTCTATTTTGTTGACCGACTTGGTCACTCTTGGACCTTGTTTGGACACATTTTTATTTGATGAATAAATGGACATTGTCCAATGTTGATTAAAAAAATAAAAATATTAGCATTGTATATTATTCAATATATTCCACATTTTATTAACATGTATTATTATTTTGTAAATAATATATATTAATAATTTACTACAAGTTTAATATAATAGTTAATAATTCATGTATTGTAATCTCTACATAACTAAATAATACCTACATAACTAATATCCACATAGCTAATACCCGCATAATTAAACCCTGCATAACTAATACCTGTATAACTAAACCCTGCATAACTAAACCCTGCATAATTAATACCTGCATAACTAAACCCTGTATAACTAATACCTGCATAACTCTAACCAGTAACCAAACGGCCCCTTAGTGTATGGAATGAACGTGTAACCTGATTGCGTCAATTTTCCTTGAACATGTTTAAAAACTGAACTCGACATATTTTATTAAAATCAAAAGGCAATAAAAAAAATTCATAATTCATCAACAATTAATTAAATGGAAGGAGAAAATTAACTTTATACAAACTTACTAATGGATTCAACTTTTATACACTTTCTAAACACCTATTCAAAGTAAAATAGTCACAAATTTGTTGGGACATCAAATTTCATACTTATTTGATACAATAAAATGCTTATCCATATTGAACTAAACTTACTAATGGATTTCAGCTTTTTTTACACTTTTTAAACACTAATAAAAAGTATAATAGTCCACAATTTTATTGACACATCAAACTTCATACCTATTTCACACGGTAAAATATTAATACATATCAAACTAAACTTACTAATTGAGACTAACTTTTATATACTTTCTAAACATTAATATTATTGTAAATTGATACCTAAAGTTCAGTACTAAAAATATGTACACAAAAAATATAATCAATAGAGTTGAGTAAGGTAGTAGTTGAGCATGATGGTACAAGCAAAATTCGAAAGGATTTTCTTCATAGTCTTGACTTCTTCCACTTGTTGCACTGAGTATTCTAATGTAGTATAAGTTGGTGTGTTTTAAATAACACAATTAATGATGGCTTATCCAACGTCTTTTCTTTTTAATCTTCACCACCTTCCTTATTCGTTGAAATTGAAGAAGAACTTGAAGTCATACTTCCTATAGCACTAACTCAGTTTCTTAATACACTAGAATTTAGCAAGGAAGCAATTAGAACATAAACATAAAAACCATCATTTTTTGTAGCTTAGAAAGAAAATATAAAGGAAAAAAGATCAAAAATATCCCTCAACTTTCATTTATTAATTGACTTTATCCTTATCGTTAAAGTAAAGTTATTCTTACCCATGTTGTTACTATAATTATCATTCATACCCCTCAATTGGATGGAAAATCCTAAATCACTTAAAAATACCCAATTTCCTTTTTTTAACCTAAATTCAACCCACAAAATCAAATTCATATCTAATTAAATCCCAAACTCATCTCTTTAATCATCTTCTTAACATATACTCCCGGTCATCTCTTTAATCATCTTCTTGACATATACTCCCCCAGCACAGCCAATTTGCATCAACATCAATTTCAAATCCCCAATTTGCATAAACAACAATTTCAAATTCAATATCCACCAAGCTCCACACAACTCAAAGATGGCATCAGCTCTGTTTTCTGCACCAACTTTCAAAAGTCTCGGACCTCTCAATAATAAACCCACACACTCTTCCATCTTCCTCAACAAATTGATCGCCTTGAAATCCATAAACAAAAAAATTCAAAATCTCGCTGTGAAAGTTGAGCTCAAACCATCAATTGTCATCCGTTTGAGCACTCAGCTTATAGTTTTCCTTGAAAGATTCGTTTTCTTTAAATTCCAGAGAGAAAATGTTGCAAAACAAGTGCCGTCTCAGAATGGAATCTCTCCCTCCAAAGCTGGAGATGTTAAGGCTAAGGAATATATAAGGTTGCTAAAGTCTAATGACCCAATTGACTCCAACACTGGCTATGGAAAGCTTATCTTTAAGCTGAAGTATAGTAATTCAAAATAAACTAATAATTCATGATCTTGAATCGTCATTCTAGTTGAGTAACACGATGCATACAAGGAAAAAGGAGATAAAGAAGATAGAAAAAATGGGTTTGGGAATTTAATTTGTAAGAATTCATTTGGTTTAGCGGGTCGGATTTGGATAAAAAGAGAAAATAGATTAATTTCAATTGAAATTAGGTAATTTTAGTTGATTTGACATTTTCTTATCCGATTGAGGGGTATGAATGATAAATAAAATAATGACGGGGTAAGAATAACTTTACTTTAACGATAAGGATAAAGTCAACTAATGAATGAAAGTTGAAGGATATTTTTGACCATTTAAATTATACTTATTAACTTTTTTGATAATCTTAAAATTAATTAAAAACATAGAACAAGAGAATCCAAGAAATGAAAAATATGATTAAAATTTCCCAAATGAAAATAAAAAAATAAGAATAAAAAAAAAGAGATGGAGATGCATATGATAGTCATGGGATAAATATGATATCTTTTGGAGAAGAAAAACGATTAGAGATTTCGAAAATTCTTTTATTCTTTTTGAAAATATTATCCTCAATTTCTTAGAATATAGTAACATAATTATATTAATTATCAATTATCTCAAAAAAAAAAAAAAAAATGAACTCCCATTATTTTGCTCCTAAAAAATAGAAACTACCATAAAAAATAAATAAACTCCATTTAATACAAGATAATCATATATGTTTGGAAGTGTAATTAAACTTTTTTTTCAATAATTATTAAAAAGTATATTTATGACTTGTAATATAGTGATTTTAAGATATAAGTGGCGATTTCTCCTATTTTTATTAGTGAAATAGAATTACTACTATATATAATAGGCTACAATAACATAGTTATTAAACGTCATGTGTGCTTGAGTTATGTGTTTTTCATGTGGTTCATTTCGAAAAATTTAGTATCCTCTCTACTTTAATTTATTTGTCTTACTTTTTTAAAAATATTTTTTCTTTATTTAAAAATTACATTATAAATATTATAAATCACAATAATTATCAACTTATATTTTTTTAATTATATATTTAAAAATATATATTAATAGCACTATAAACTCGCAATTATTTACAACTTAAAATATTTTACTATCTAATATTCTCTCTATCCTAATTTATATAACTCATTTTCCTATTTAGTAAGTCCAAAAATGACATGTTATTCTATTCAGTAACAATTTAACTTTAAAATACTCAATTTACCCTTAAGAAAAATTACTTATAGTCATACAAACATCTATTACTTATTTCAAACCACAAATTTCAAAAGTTTGTCTTTCTTTCTTGAACTTTATTTCAAGTCACACTACATCATATAAAATGAGATATAAGGAATAAGAGGCTACAAACACATACTCCCTCTGTCCACTTTTAATTGTCACGTTACGCTTTTCGAAAGTCAATTAGACTAATTTTCAAAGTTAAATTAGATTATATTAATTCGATATTTTAAACAAAAAATTTAGATATTCAAAAACTATACGAAAACTAATATAAATTACTACTTTTTGCATATCAATATGATGAAAAAATACATCATAAAATGTTAGTCAAAGTTATTATCGTTTGACTCTAAAAAGTATGATAATTAAAAGTGGACGGAGATAGTAACTCTTAAAAATATGTTAGATGTTTAAAAATCACTATAAATTGCATAATTAACAATTTAAAATATTTGTAAAAAAACATGTCAAAAACCTAATTTACTCCTAGAATTCTATCAATAGCACTTAAATTTGAACAGATGGAATAATATGTATTATTTGAAAATTACATAAAAAATACTAAAAATTACAATAATTAACAACTGAAAATATATAAAAATTCATATACTAATTTGGTTGACTCTCCTAATTTCATTTATGCCACATAAATTTTAAAAAAAAATAACATATATTATTTTAAAATGACGTTAAATAATACTATAAATCACAATAAGAATAATAAGTTAAATTATTTATTAAAGGAACATATAAAAATCTGATTGACCTTTTAAATTCCATTTATGTCCCATAAATTGATATAGATAAGAAATTTTACATATATAATATATTTTATTGGGATAAGGGTCTGAAAAATATCCCAACTTTGGTGGAATTTGCTGTTGCGATACTAAACTTTCATGAGGACCCTATTACCTCCCCTAGACTATTTAATATCGTATTTTAAACATATCTATTTGTCCACGTGGACATAAAACATAATGCAAAATTATAAATAGTAATGTATCCACGTGGGCACATATATACCTTTAAAATACACTATTAAATAGTTCAGGGGATAAAAAAATACGCTATTAAATAGTCTAGGGAGGTAATAGGTCCTTATGAAAGTTTAGTATCGCAACAACAAATCCGACCAAAGTTGGGATATTTTTCAAACCCTTATCCCTATTTTATTTGATTAATTACGCTTTTAAGTGTTACGTTATTTTTATTACAATATATGACATAATTTTAGCTTTAATAACATTTGATATAAATCTGTATTAAAGTTGTATTAAAATTGTATATTAGGTGAAGTTCTGAGAATTATATTAAAGTTGTATCAAAATTGTATTAAATATAAGCAATCCATGGTCTGGTGATAGTGATTACAAAAAAGAAGAGGTGAAGCCCTGAAAAATTCTATTAAAATTGTATTACAATTGTATAAATATAAATGATAGTCATAATACAATACGAATTTGATATTATACATTACTATAAATTCGATATTCATTATTTCTGAACAAATATAATACATATCTAACAATGTAAACTAATTTAAATAGTATCGGAATGTTTGAGATTCACATATAATACTTATAATATATTTGTATCAAAAATATTTTAGTTATATATTAGGTGAAGTTCTGAAAAACTGTATTAAAGTTGTATCAAAACTGTATTAAACATAAACGGTTGGTGGTCTGGTGGTGGTGATTTACCGAAAAAGAAGAGGTGAAACTCTAAATAATATATAATAAAGTTATTTAAATTGTATAAATATAAACGATAATTTAATACAATTCGAATTTGATATTATACATTGCTATAAATTCTATAGCTATTATTCCAGAACAAATATAATACATTTCTAACAATGTAAACTAATTTAAATAGTACCTGAATGTTTGAGATTCAATATAATACTTATAATATATTTGTATTAAAAATGATTTAGTTATATATTCACCACATGCATTGAAACATGCCTATAATATGTATAATATATTGAAATCAAAATGTATTGTAACTGTTGTTTATTTTTCTCTCTCATTAACGGTACTAAAATATGTTATTGTATTTAAAATATTATAATTATATATTCAACACATGCACTGAAACATGCCTATAATATGTATTAAATATTGAATTCAAACGTATTACAATTGTTATTTATATTTATTTATTTTATTAACTAGGCAATTTGCCCGCGCTTCGCGAGGTCATAAATAATTGTATTTAACTTGAAAAATAATCCTTTACTAATATCCATACATTAAAAATAATGAAAAAAAATAGGTTCTTAAAAAGAATATTAGCAATAAACCAACATGAATCTGATTATTTTTCATCATCACATTACTCAAGAACCTCTAATGAATGAATTATTTACGATAAAATAAATCATTGGTTCTTTAATCAACATTAAAAGGAAAATAAAGATGAAAGTAAGAATATATACAAAGGCATTTTGTAAGAAAAAGAACACATTTAAGTTGCATAGATTATACAATTGTGATATATGTCTTAGGAAAAAATTCAAAAATTTGTTAACAGATTCAAAAAAAAAAATTAGGCTTGAACATGAAAGCAATTATATCTTTTGAACTTGCACAATGAATTTCTTCAATTGATAAGCGAAAAACTTCATATCTATGTGAAAATAAATAATATGTAAGCTTATATATAGTACTTTCAAGTTATAGAATTTTATATAGAATATCAAAACATGAATTCTTGGAACTGAGTATCATAATTATTTTTTGCACAATGAATATACCTACTATATGTGTATGTGTTCAATATAACCAATGACAATAACTTTGCAGAAACATAAACAACAGAGTTTAAAACACGTACTCAAAAATAACAACTTTGCAGAAGCATAAATTAATGACTGTAAAAAAAATATCAGGATCTGTAACAGTAGAATGAAATAGAAAGGCGAAAAAATCGAATCCACTGAATGCACAGCGTCCCCTTAAGAAAATTATTCCCCTATAATACCCGAGATTTAAAGAAATAGATCCTCTCAGGATGGATCAATTTTATTCAACAGTGTATTGATACAAAAATAATGGTGTCATTGAGCCACTCAACATGAATAAAGTACATGAATATTTAATTGTGCAGAAGTAGAAGTTTAGAATTTTTATTATTTTAAAATGAGAGGAAATCCCTCTATTTATATACAACAAAGAATAGTGTGAATAAATGTTTATTGTGCCTTATCGGAAAGGTCACAACTCTTTGGAAAAGTCATAACCCTTCGAAAATGTCACAACCTTTCATAAAGGTCGCAACTCTTCATAAAAATCACGACTTTTCATAAAAGTCACAACTTTTCATGAAATGGGAAGGTTAGTTTTAAAAATAAATAAATTAAATGGGAATCCTGATTTGTGGTGGCGCCATGTAGGCGAGCCTAGGGTTCTCTTATATATATATATATATATATATATGAATTATGATGTCCATATTTTTTTTTAAATAAAATGTTAATCTTCAAAACATTCTTAAACATTAACATAATTAAAATTTAAAAAGAAATGAGAGAGACAAAAATTGGCTGATGAAAAGACAAGAATGAAATAGAGAGAAAATGATGAAAGAAAAAAGAAAGAGAAAGAAAATGACGTAAATATAAGAAAAGGAGAGAGAGAAAATGACGAAAGAAAAGACAAGAATAAAAGGGAGAGAAATGATGGATGAAAAGAGAAAGAGAGAAAGAAAATGCATTAATAGAAGAGAGAATATAAAGAAAACAATGT